ATGTGAATCCTCCCAAGAGAACTCGCGGTAATCTCTGTAACTGGCTCTTCCAGCATTTCAAAGAGGTAATCTCTGCTTATGTTTATACTCGTAAATTTTTTTGTGAATTTTCTAATGTCCAAATTATTGCTTGCATTTCTTATGCTTCTTGTTTGGTGTTATTCGTTATGGGTTGTTGTTCTTTGGGTGCGATGAAGTTGCGGCGACCCGGGTTTAGGTTTTTTCGTTCGGTTTTCAAAGTCCTAACGTTTCTGTGTTTTCTCTGGAAGGTTTCACGGTTGTTTGGGTTCTATAGTAGGTAGCACTGCGAGTGTTGCTCAAAGTCTGAATTGGTAATAAACATCTTATGATAGAATCTCAAACGATCTCATCTCATGTTATGCAAAACGCCGTAAAAGCCTTAATGAGGTGATTCAAAAGGTGCTAGCTTTAGGGTTTTACGTCTGTTCACAATTACAATTCTATTGATTGGGCATATGTATGTTATGGGTCTGTCAAGTAGTATGAATGTGGAGAAAGCTTAGCTGAAATCCAGCAACGTTGTCCTGCAGTTACATTGTTTTGAAGATCGGGGAAACCGGTGTGTAACATTGAGGCCTGAGCTTATTTCTTTAGCGAGACTTTTGATAAAAAAAAAAAAAGGTAATGGAAGTTTCTCTCACTTATATTTATATACATGCTTATGTGAGTATATATGTATATAATGATGTATTTGTGTGTATAAATATATGTATATATGTATTTATATATATATGTATATCTATGAATATATATGTTTGTATATGATTGTATTTATATGTGTATATGTATACATGTTTAAATGGATATTAATATATATATATATATATATGTAAGCATATATGTATATATATTTTTTAATTTATTTTTTACTTTTTTTTGTATGTTTATGTATATATGTGTGTGTTTGTATTTGTATAAGTATGTTTATGTATATATATGTGTTTGTATTTGTATAAGTGCATACGTAAGTATATATTTTTACTTTTTATATTTTTGTATTATATATAAATCTGGTAACAAAATAAAATATAAACATTAAAAAATATGAATAAATATATATATGTATTTCTATATATATGTATATATATTATATTTACATTATTTATATATATATGCATATATAAATGTGTTTGTATATATGTATGTATGTGTATACATATATTTGTATATATGTACACATGTATGTATATGTGTATATATTTTTATTTTTTTATAATATATATATATATATATGTATATGCATATGTATATATAGATGTCCAATTTTGAAATACTTAATAGTTAGATATGATCAAAATGAGGAAGAAATTTAAATATGATAAAGATATTTTATAGATGAGAGAATTTTCAATAGGGTAGATTATTATTATTATTATTATTATTATTATTATTATTATTATTATTATTATTATTATTATTATTATTATTTATGTATATCTATATTTATTAGAAATTTTAAATAAATTTAAAATATATAATTTTTAAAATTAGACCAAGAACAA